CGACGCCCACCGACGAAGATTTCCGTGGAAACCGCACACGGTCGTCACGTAGGCGCGCAACAATAATAAAATTCGCGTGGAACGCATCTCGTTCGAATCCGGCCTTCGACGGTGCCGTCGCGCTTAAAATTTTCATTTCCTACGGAAAAATCTCATCAGACAAAACGTGAAACGTGCTGCGGAACGCCTGGCCAATGCGATTTCTAGAGAGATCCGTCGGCGTGCAATAACAAACCGATTGACAAAACAGCACGCCGCACGGTACGGAAACTGGCGTTCATTTATTTTATTTCGTTTCTTAAATTTAACCGGTCGCTACCCCTGGAGTAACCGCATACGTTACGTGTTATCGCCTTTAATTGCGGCCCATAGGTGACAATTGTTGCGGGTAAAATAGGTTTGGGACTCGGAAAACGTAACACGCCGGCCCAGCTACGACGATTCGCGCATCGTCCCGTTCCACTCGGAACCGTACCGGCGTCGCCCCGATAATAATCCGTATTGTTCGATCTCGGCGGTACCTGCAGACGATCCCGTCGAGGCCGACCGATGCAATATATTTCTGCGCGCGGCCAACGCTACAAGGTCGGTCACCCGTCATGTTACTTTATTATCGTTGATGTAAAAACGATCGGTTTGTTGCGCGCGTTGTCTTCGGAAATAATGCCGCACACGGCCGGCATCAGTATTCATAACCACCAGTAACGATAATCGTAGTGTTATTGCGCACATCGGTACCGCCATCTAGCGGTCGATTTGCGGCCGGCCGTCGTTCCCGCCACACCGCTAGAGGTCACTGCCGTTCACCGCGTGAGTCGCGTTCCTCGCCGACCCACCGGCATCGGAGGATTCTCACACGGCAAACGGAAGAAAACGGCGAAAACGCCCTGTACGATGTTTCCCGCGAAAGATTTCATGTTCGTTTGATCGGGGGAAAAAAAAAATATATGATCTTGGACCGCGCGACTTTGGTCGGTGCGAAAAGCGGGCGAAGTAGAACGATCGGTGTGCCGTACAACAGCTTTCTCTCGAAAGTTGTTCACGAATATCGTTTATTGTTGTTATTTTTGTTGTTGTTGTTGTGTTGGCAAACACGTCAATCAAGCGGTGGCCGCCGCCGAGTGAACGGTATCGGTCGGGCGACGGTCGTTATGCAGCGGTCGGGTCGGGAGAGGCGGGTAGTGCGGGCGGCCATCGACATCGAGAGTTGAACGAACTGCTGAAAAACAGGTCATTGCGAACGTTCTTTGTGCACGCGCATAATAAACCACTCGGCGGCGTTACGTCATTGACCGATTACACATGTGCACGCACGCACAAGCACGTAATACGCGCCGGCGCATAGGCAATATTATTTTTTTCGCATAACCGATTTGATGTATTCGCATATGAAGAGAGAGAGAGAGCAATAGAAATCTATTTTTTAACCATGACAAGGCTAAGCTTTTAGAAAAGAAGAAGAAGAAGAGGAGATTTGTGCGATTTCACGAGACACACACGAAACCGCGTTTACGACAATATTACGACGTGAAACGCGTACGGCGCTCGGACACATCGCGAGGGTGGTTGCGTACGCGGGGTGGCGATACGATTGCCGCCAAACCTACACGTTGGGTAACGGTGGTAGACAATCGGTCGGATGGACAGCTCGGAAGAGCTGTTGATGTCGATAAAGGATGCCCGGTGACTCAGTGCCAGAGTTGTGGCACCACCGAGACGTTCCAGAGGTGATTCCAGAGGCTTTTAAACAAAATCGTTCGTTTTGGACGACCGGTGTTCGAAAACGGAAAGCGCGCTAAAGCACTTGGAAGGGACGCTGTCGGGTGTACCCGATGCGTGTTAGTAACGTATTTATAGAAATCGTATGCTCACCATCTCGACTCATGCCCACGCTGATGCACTTGCGGAGCCGGCAGTACTGACACCTGTTCCGGTTGATCCGCAATATGTTGCACTGCTGGTTCTTGGTGCACGGCCTGTACTGGATCTTCTGCTGGATGCTCCGGCGGAAAAAGCCCTGTAACCGATCGGTGGTCGACGTATAGTTATCGTTGTTGTGCGTGATGCTGCAGTCGGAATCGTCCGTATCCGCGGCCGCGCTGGACTCGGCGCCGGAGTCGCGACCGTCGCACCAACAAGCCGCGGACAACGTTTTTTCCGAACATATGGGCGGCATCGCGGGTCGGTGGTACGTTAGTATTTCGGATTCGCGGCGCGACCGGATTGTTTTTTGAAAATATTTCTCCTAAACGCGCGGACCGCCGATTATACGATTGGACCGCGTTCGTAGCGTTCACCGACTCGAAGTGCATTCGAGCCGTTATCGTTCCAGTGTTTTGTGCTTGGGGGAAAAAAATAAGCACAAAAATCGCAGGTGGTTTTGTTCTTCGCGACGGTTCTCGACGGCGGATTGGGCGCGCGCGGCACACGCGTTGTCGCTGTACTGCTCACACGACTGCGTCGCTTTACTACTCGCGATACGTGTGCGGTACACTGCTCCGGTTGGCGCGCGCGACGGTTCTGCCGGTCGACGGCAGCAGCGGCGGCGGCGGCGGCGGCGACGATGACCCAATTGCGGTACGTTAAACTCGCCGTCGCCGTAACACCGCCGCCGCCGCACGCTTTACGTGCGCTGTTTTTTTTTATTATTATTATGCGCCTCGGACGTATAATATTATTATCGGCTCGGGTACCGCCGAACGGGGGAACTAAGAGGAGTGGGCGGTGGGCAGGCGCGGGTGCAAAAAACTGCACGCACACCGCCGCGCGATTACCGATCCACCGCACTCCGTCCCGCGTACCAATTCTGGACGACGGGGCCCCGTTATGTACGACGCGCCGGACGAGATGCAGCGCGACCGCGATCGCGGTGTATCACTACAGCCGGTGACGTGCCGGAGCGGGGGGTTGGTGTGGCGACCGGTGCACGGTAAACAATTGTTTTGTTACGAGTAAAAGCACGTAACGGTGCAAGTTATCCGCTCGCACGTCCGATAACCCTTTCGGGTCCCCCCCTCTCTCGCACGTTGCACCGCCGTAAGCCCGTTGCACCGTCACCCGCCCCCGTCTACCACGCTGCAGCGAGTATTGAGTACGCGCACGCTTCATACGGGGTTTGCCGCACGAATGGTATCGGACACAACAATACGCATTAATATTATTATTATTTATTATGTGTACGCGCGTACACGCGGTCCATGACCCTACGCGCACTCGCCCCGGTTGCACGTAACAATAATAGTGTTTAAAAAAAAAAAAAAAAAAAAACGCGAAAAACTAAAATTAACCGCACGCAATCGTTGCGCCACGTAAAACGTCCGCCCGGTCGGAAAACCTTACGTAAGTACCTGATTTACAGTGCGTTCCGCGGCCGTCCGGTGTTCGCAGGGTGTCCGCTCGACCGACGTTCGTTCGCACCGCCGAAATCGTGAGATACGCGCGCCTTTATACCGGCCCTCGCGACGACGGCACTCCACGCGGGTACAACGTACGGAAATTAAGTCAATCGTTGGTATTGTAATGAACGCGATATCCGATCAATGAACTCTGCGCGACACGCGCGCAAGGCGTTACGCGTACATGTTCAGGCGTTCTCATAAGTGTCCGATGTTATTGTGATTTATCTCTCGTCGTTAGCAAAAAAATAATAATTTAGGTGATTGCGATATTTATGCGCACCGCGGGCCGCAGTACCGTACCGCGTTCTAGAATGTCTCTCGAAACTCGAGCACTCGGAGAGATACATGATTTAAAAAAAAAATTTAGATTGCGGGGATTAAACGTACATTGACGGCCGCAACGTTTGACGGGTTAAAAGCGGCACTCGAACATTATTAGCGCGTCGAGGGGATTATCTGTGCGTGTCGAGTGAAAAAAAAAAAACGAAGGACGAATTCGATCATAATTTCGTATACGTAATTTTGTTCGCGCGCTTCTCCGCGCGCGGAGAACGACAATATTTTAATTGTCAATTGACCTAAAACCGTAACAGTCAAAAAAAAAAAAAAAAAAAATTATGACCTCGGCCGAGTGACTGTAATACGCTGCGAACAGTGCAAACGTGTACCACTATCGAACCGACGTCGGACGAAAAATATTATAGGTCGAGCCGGTCGAGGACCTCGGTTGTGCAGGACGAACGAAAAACGATTTCGCAAATAATATTTCGCTCGACACACAGATCCGTTAATAAAACATGCAAATAGCACACACACACACACACACACACATACACACAGGCGCACGTACACAACGACGTGTACAACACCGGAGGAGTGTAATACGCTGTGCGAGCTGTGGGACTGTGTGCGTGCGGTTTGTTGGCCAGGCAAAAAGTCATTGGCCTATGACGTCACATCGGCCTAATTTCATCACGAATACCCGGTCCGCCCTGGTTAGCGGCGGCCGATGACTGCGCGCACGCGGTGTCAACGTACTCGTGGCTGCAGCGGCGGCGCCCGGTCCATAACTCCCGGGAATTTCCGAACCGCGCGGCCGATCGGGATGACGTGTTTTTAACGGGGTTAAAAATAATAAAAGCACGGTGTACACGCACGCGGCACCGAGAGGACGAACGCGCGAACGTATTATGCGGTACGCAATGCGTGCGCACACGGTCCGCGATAAATCTCTACGCGGAGACGCAGCTACACGTACACGCACATACGGACGCGTGTTTTTACAGTTACGCCGAGGGAACACAAATGATTGCGCGCGCGTAAGAGAACATAAAAAAAAAAAAGGCTAACGGGACCCGCGATCCTTGGAGAGCACACCTGCGGTGAGGTCGACGGCGACAACAAGTAGTCGATACGCATAAATCGCGTGCAACGCGTTTGTTTGCGTGACGGCGTAGTAGCCCTGGACGGACCACCCGTCCGCGCGTCCGTTCCGCGGACGTCAACCCTTTTTTTACTCGGCCCTCCGCGTGAGACCCGAACAATACGGGTCGCCATGCCCTTCGAAAATGCCACCGCCCGGATAACGGTACACGTGTCTTCGACGCGCGCACGAAACGCGGCCGAAATACAAGAAGACAATGGGCCACGAAGAAGCGCACTAGCCGTGCACGTAACACAATAACCCGTCGGCTAGAATGCCGCATCGCGCGACGTGCGATTACTGTTATTGTGTGATATCGTCATTATTCTCATTATTTCCGACCGTTATTGTTCGCCGATAGGTGTATTCGTTCGGCGACGGTTCGATCCGCGACCGGGAGCCGCGGGCTTACCGAGCCGTGACCGCGCGCGTTATCGCAGCGATGCAAATGGAACGGTGTAGAATATTCGATCGGGTGGACGGTGAGGTGTAGCACGATTGTAATGGTTTTTCTCTCTTCTGCGCCGGAATATTGAAGCGGAAACCGAGCGGCCGCTTTCGCGCGATCATATTGTTGAAATTGTTATTTTTTTTCTTTACATAATTGGCTAGTGGCAGCGGCGGTCGGCTGCGTGTAACGGGTGTGCTGCGCGAGCGGATGACGTGGTGTCGGACACCGGAAGAAAGTGAAGAAGAAAGTGGACCGGTCCGAGAGGACTTTCGCCGCTGCCGAAGACGCGCACTCCGTTACGTCACCTCGTTCGACCTCCCACTACTCGTACACTTCCCGCGTACTTTCCCCGCGGGTTCAGCGAACCGCCGAGTTCAAAAAACCTATCCACCCATTGCGTTTATTGTTCCATTCGCATAAATATTAAACGCTCGAACCGCAAATACGTATACGTGTACGTGTATACACATCGTGTACACACACACACACGTACGTGTACTACGCATTAACGCGTATGGTGTTTGGCTGTTGTTATTGTTGTTACATAGGCGCGAAACGCGTGTACTCACTTTGCATCCCTCGCACGAGTGTACGCCGTAATGGAATCCGGAAGCCCTGTCGCCGCATACCCGGCACAGTACCGTGTTCCCGTCAAATTCTGAAAAAAAAAGAACGAAAAATAAATGAAAAGATTCCAAAAAAACTAATAACTCGTTCGAAGATATCACATAATAACTATTGTTTAACATATCATAGGCACGAACAACGTTACAAAAAAAAAATAAATAAATAAATAAAAATAGTCATAAACGCGCTGTAATGGTTCGAGACCTATATTAAATATGTCTAACCGGAAAATCGGTCCGAACGGCCGTAGTGTTCGGTGATGATCGTGGAGCTATCGTAGTGTTGCATCGCGGAACGGTGTTCGACGAACGTCCGGAAACCACTGACCTGCGGACGCGGGGCGAACGACGAATAAAACGATAGCAGCGTAAGGGCGAGGAAAAATAATAATAATAACAACTAAATAAACATAGGGGGTAGTGTTGATTAGAAAAGGTGGTTGTTTATGTAACCGACATGTATACGGCTGTAGGGGGTGGGAGTCGGACGAGGGATGCCGTAACGACGGACGCGCTCGGATTGGTGGTAGGTACACGCCCACGGCGGCGGTGCACAGGTTCATCGACCTTGACTCAGTTACCCGGCGACCCGAAGGTCGGAGGATATTCGCCGCTACGGTTGCTGGGGGGTTCAAGTCTTTGTGTGCGTGTGCGCGTGTTACTACACAGCAGTACATAATATAGTACGTAAATATGATTGCTGTTTATCGTACGCGATGGGATATTTGACGCAATACGTTACCAATAACCGTAGCGGTTGGCAAATGAAGTTTTTCTTTTGTTTTCGAAAACGGGTCGCGTCGTACGGGTTAACGTCCGGCGACGGCTACAACAGCGCCAACCGACGACTTTGTAGCGCGAAACGAATTCACGATTCCGGAACATAACGTACATTGTTTACCGTGTACACGTTATGTACACCGCGCGAAATGATTAATGTATGCCGCACGTACGATGTGTGTTATCGCCGCCGATACAACGTGTTGTAAGCGTAACGCGACGAGGAGTAGACCGATTACAACGTATAATGCGCTTTTGCGAATTGTTACGCACCGCACGGATGATTTACATGAGTTTTGCGAACGGACGAAAAACCGATGACGGTCGAGATACCACCGATGGAAACCGAAAATCTCTAGGGGTTGTCCTTCGAACGCGTGTTGAAATGTGTGTCAGGTTATTATAAGAAATGAATAAAATTACACACACGGCGGCGGTTCGATAACCTGAGATTGCCGTAACCCATTAGCATTGTGTTGCGCGAGGAGAGGCCGTTGCACTTTCTCCGGTACCCTTGCGCTAGCCGTCGCCGTTTTTTAAACGCCGCTCGCGTTGGCCAACTCGTCCTAGAATTCAGGTACCCCACTTCCACCGGGCGTAGACCGTTCCAGACGCGTAACACGTATTTTCGCATCGATCCAGCATTGCGACGATCGTGTAACCCGAACGGGTGGGATGTAATCGTGTTCAAAAGCGATTTCACGCGCGCGCATCGTAACAACACGATAGTTCGTCGATATCCATGCCGTCCGCCCGCGCGTCATAATTACGCCTATCCGCGGGAGGGTCGTAACGGCGCGTCCAGGGAACGAACGGGCAACGTCATGAGTCATCGCGGTACCGACGATACTGTTCGACGAACCGAAGTGACGCACACGCGGCTGCGCATCCCTGGCGGGTGAGCTCAGCGAATGACACGCCGGTACGCGTACGTATAATATTACACACACGCGGTTATGAGCTGTTGAGGCCGTTACGTAAGTAACGGCGACACGGTTACAGTCATGACCTGGTTTCGGGCCGTTGAACCGATCCCGGCGCTCGGGTCAAGCAACTCTCGGGCGGCGGCACGGCTCGACGGTCGTACGCGCGCGCGCCGGGCGATAGTGCAAATATTATAATATAAAATATAATACGCACAGTTGGCCCGCAGCCTGGTCGCCGCACCGCCGGACGAGCGCGGTACCTCATATCGTAACACAACAACGCACGCGCGAATACGAGTGTACAACGTATACTCCGACACTGTAACGGTGTCGCGTTAATTTATACGATTACGTTCGCGTACACCGCCGTATGGTGGTCGCTCGAAGGCGGACCGACGGCGCGCAGGGTTCGTTCGCGGACATCGGTTTTCCCGTCAAATGCATTACGTTGCCGCTAAGAAACGAACAAAACGCGAACCGATCGTCGCCGTTCCGGAGTTCTATCGGATAGCGGTCTCGAGAACGCTCGATCCGGGACGGCGGACGTACAGGCCGCCGTGCGTACGGGATCGACGAGTGCGCGATAAGGCTGTGGCGGGCGGGGGCGCTGATCGGCGCGAAGGGCGGGCGGTGCGCGAAGCGGCCCAAGGATCGGTCGTTGACCGAGCGCCCGATTGTGGGTCAACGCGGCCTTGAGTGAGTCTGTGTCTGGTCGCTCAATACTGTTGCGCATGTGCCCGCCGGCCCATTTTCGCGCGCGCTCACGCACACTCGCCGAACGCATAACTCGCGCGCGCACGCGTCGACATACAGCGCGAAACAATGTTCGCCACCGCAGTCTTTCGCGCGTTTATTAAACGTATACACCGCGCGCGCACTCTCGTTGCACACACATGATCGTTACGCGATCACTACTCGTTCGGGCTGTGCGTTTATTGTACGCGTATGAGCGGTGCGCGCGCGTATAAATAGAAAATACGTTTCTCGGCGGCCGAATAAAGCAATATCGTTTCGTAACGCGAAAACGGAAAAAATCAAATTGTATTATGTGCGAATAGGAATCGTTTCGCACCTAATAACAACCACTTATCGTAAACAAAAATTTACCCTGCCATTCTCATGAATACGTTATTCAAACGACGCGTACAATGTGACGTGCAAATATCAGTGACGGAACCGAGGGGCGTAATTCAGATATTCTGGACGTCTTCCTTCGTCCATCTCGTCGTTCAACGACCGTTGGAAAAAATTTCTTACGAATTTTTTTGATTTACAAAAAAAAATAGTTAGAAATCAACTTACTCCGAAAATGAGACGATTTTGTAATATTTACATGAGTAATAACTCTTTAATGTGCCTTAACATTTCAACGTTTGACAGTTACTAAAAATAAATATGATTTGTATAAAAATTTACATGTACGAATTTCAGTCTAGCCAGGCATCATTAATGTATTCGAAAATAAGTTTTGAATCGGATGGTATAGTTAAATTTAAATACTACATTTCAAATGTAATCACTTTTAACTTTTTTTTAAAAAAAAAACTAAACGAACCACTGTAAACGCAACCGGTGGACACCTGCCTTCAAAAAATCTTGATTATGATGTATGGAAATCAAAGACGAAAATCGTGTTTGTTTATCGATAAATATTTTTAGTTATATTTTGCGCCCTTACCTTGATTTTTTACCGTATCACCCGCCGCTATATCGTCTTCGACGTGACCGATCATTGGGACCGCAATGAAAATACGATTCGATCGAAAAATATTTAATTGCGCGGTGACGAATAATTATTTTCGGCCACCGTTGCGATGCTAGAATATAATCTGACGCCGGTAAACTTTTACGGGTCCCGTCGTACAACAACACGTCTACCATACGTTGTGCCTGCGAAGCGTCCCGAAACGTTCTGCTTGTATTTGTATGTGTGTTTACCAAAGTGTTTACGTGTAAGCGAGCGAGCGATTGTGTGCGTGTGTGTTTGAGTGTATGTGTGCGCCGTGATTGCGCGGGGACACCGCCAAAGCGGCGTGCCGGGCGTGCTCGGCGGCAGGGTCAATGTCCTTCGTGCGCTTTCCAGGGTTACCGCGACCGATCGGAGGGGCGACCGAACGGGTATATAGTCCCCGAAGGATTCACCGCTCGTGCGTGCTGGCTGTTGACGTCATCGCGCGCCGCCCCTAGCCACCCGTACCGCAGCACGTACTCGCGTAAAATCACCCTTACTCGACGCCAATCGGTATGCGGGGTGGCTCGCGGAGGTTTCATTCGTAACGGCGTTACTCGTTCGGATGTAAGTTCAAAGGGACTGATGCTGCGTGTTCATATTTTCGTACTCCTGAACCACGTGCTGAATTCCGCGGGGAAAAAATAAAATTATCAATCAAAGTTTAACTCGTATGTAATAATTTTATATCGTCGACGGTAGTTGTTTTTTTTTTCATTGTCAGCGCTCCTCACTGTGATCGCCCGCGAGCTGGTCCAAATCGATATTGGCAAAACATGTACACATGTTTATCGGTACACAACATTAAACACGTCTAACTCAACGACCATTATTACAATTGTAATTATTTTCGACCGCTCGTTGTTCTTTGCCTTCGCCCGATTAGCGTAGAAAACGTTATCTGCCGGCGTGCACCAATGTTAGCACATAGTAACAACGTTTTATAACATTAACGCAGATTAAACACGCGATGTTGACACGAAAACGTAAATCCCGTGGCTTTGTGGTTACGATTATTATTTTACCGCCCCGATAAATTTATTTTTATTTTCTTAACTATATTGGCGTAAAATAAAAAAAAATCGTGACGGGAAAATGTATAACGAACGTCGCCGAAGGCGGTGTGCGAAAAATATCACGAATAGATACGACGCTGCTGCACGTATATGCATATGTATTATAAATAATAGAACACGCGGCGTGCGAGCGAAAAAATAAAACCCCACCGAACACTATAAATACGAAAACGTACATTTGATGTAGAACCATATCGAGGTCAGTGTACTTTTCGCGCAAAGTTCATAAGCCCAGGTCACCCGCGTACACAAGATCGCTGCGACGAGGGGTGTCGGAGGTGCAGAGCCTGTTGTGTGTACGTCGCGGTGCGTACGTATTACACAAGGCGGCGGTGGGGGCGTTGTTACGTCGGCGGCGGCGGCGCCCGGTGGCGGTAAACCGAAACGAGCACCGCTCGTGACACGGAAAAGGGTTGATGAACTTTGCGATCGCGACCACGGCGGCTGCTGCGTTACCACGGTTACCGCGGTATATGCACCGCGTGCGGAGGAACGTTGGTGGTTCTCGTCAGCGGGGTGCG